ACGCGTCTTGCGCGACAACCACGACGCCGCAAGGATTTCGCGATTGTGCAGCGTCGTCATCGGGTCATCGGTCTCGTTGAAGGTGGCCGTGGCGTTGGGTTGGCCTGTGTATTGCCACGGTGTTGGGCACAGACTCGATGAAGCCCTATCTCGTTTCTGAGGTTGATCGGGGGTTGTGGGCTCTCTGCATTTCTCGTATCTCTTGAATGTGAGTTGAGGTGGGCTGAAGGAATGGTCTGCTGGCTGCAGAAGTCAGGGGCTGTTGAGATCTCGAAAAGTTGGGCTTGCTTGTGGTGGCTGTGTAGAACTTGGTGACAACCTTCTTTCTTGAGGAGGAGAGGCTTTCGTTGATTGTAGGTCATCCCTGAGTGTAATCCTTGATCGGGAACATGTAGCACCTAGTGGTTGTGATGGCTCTGGTGGCTGTGATCTTTGCTAATCGTCATCATGTCATGTCTTTGCTAATCGTCATCATGTCATGTCTTTGCTCTAGTCTTTGTAGCGTTAGCAATATGCGAAACGGATGTAAAGCGTTCTATGCATGGGGTTCCTTCTGACTCGTGATGTGCCTTGATGTACGCGTGCCATGCTTATCTCCTCCAGTTGGAGTAGTGGGAGAAGAAGGAAAGAAGGGCGACTCAGATTGTAGTCATGTATGGTCAATGTGCCTTGGAACTCCAGAGTCCTCCATCCTTTTGATGTCGATGTTAACCTCTGGCCTCAGGCACTGAGGGAATGATACCGGTGAATTATCCTGTGTTGGTGGGACATTACTGACTTTTTTACCTTTCTTCTGGATGTATGGGTAGGAGTTATTGGCTTGTACCTCTCTTAACCTCCTTGAGACCTGTTTTACAGCATCATGGACTGCTGCTGGGCGTCATCCCATTGCTCGCCTCGTCACCCCTCGGTTTTGGAAGGCCATGTTAAACGCCCTTCTTGACGACATGATGAACTCAGAGGGTGGTTTAGGCACTTGAGAATCATTCTTCGTGCAGGGGAGTTTAAATGGAGACAGCAACTTTGAATATATATACTTTGTAATGTTACTGTACAGCAGACGAGTAAGATGAGGAAATGATGGCATGTTCGTTGATACTACCATCTCTTGTTGATATCCGCGTGCTTCTCTGAGATCGAATGTAGCTGAATCGTTCAATGAAGGTACCTTAATCTTACAAGCTTTTCTATGCCTCGTCCTATGGCGACCTTGTCTCAAGACCAAAGACATCCGGATGCTACTTATCGTGGTGTCCCACCAGAAATAGCGAAATTGTTACCAGCTCCCCTCTCCTAATCGATACGATCAGAAGAGTACTAGGTAAATAAAGCAGCTATGTTTAAGTGATCCTACTCTACATCGGGGTCTAGGATCATAATGGGTTGAATTCTGGGCATTTGGCCGGATATACATCAATATGACATTGAAAAAGCCCCTGCAATCACAGTGAGAATGTCCGCGGCGGAGGTATCTAAGTGTTTTTTTGTGGCCAACAGGCGTAACAGTGGAGCCGAGGGCTACTTGCAAGAAAACAACGGCTTCGTTACCATGAGAATGGAGCGACGGTTAGATAGGTCGCCAGGGGTATGTGTTATTCATCCTGGACACCGCGCTCGGCGACGTTGGCTATTGGAGCTCGACTGAGCCTTTACGAGTGTATGGGCTTATAATACCTTTGTACAGGCAGCTGGATGTCTCTGCGTGTCGTAGCATCTGGTTTGCTTTTGTTGGATATGTCAAGTATTGTTCATGTAGGTAAATACCAACAAATATACAGAACACTTTGTTGTTGGTAGAGGTGATCTAGCCCCCTCTATCGTTTACGATACTGACGTCGACCCTCGCTGTAAGTCACACCATACATCAATTCGGTCACACGAGAGCCGTTCATGCGATGCGCTTAAGCTATGTTACATGTTGTTGAGATGGCTTATTTGTTTTTTGCGGATTTTCCCGCCATTACGTACTTGTGAGAAAGACTGAGCATCATCGTGGTGGCATTGCGACGCCCCCCTCAGCTATGGTACATCATGTTACATACAAAATACCTCGTAGAGGCATCAGTCATATGTGCCCGCCGGCATGCAACACGGGCGCAATACGGCGTAATGAATGTACTTCCGTTGCCCTCGGCCAGCTGTGTACAATAACGAGACAGGGAAGGAGGAGAACTGCGTCATCCATGATGTTGCCATCCGAGACGTGGACAGCAGCAGTGCGTCAAGACCACAGCAAATGCGAAATGGCATGGAAACTGCGATGTCTTCAGAGTAGCATGTCGAGGACGAGAAGAGTTACTACGAAATAAAAGGTATTGAGAGCATAGATGATGGGATTGCCGATATTGTCAGGCCGGAGCAATTCACCAAAAGGAAACACATATTCGGAAGGACCCTCCCTGCCTTTTGACAACGATCCAGGTTAACCATTCTGTGGTCCTCAGCCTGGAATGATCGAGCTTTTTAGACCTTCCATCTGCTGCGTCTATAAACGTCTCAGACTCTTCTTCATGAGAATCTCTTCTGCGAAAACCACAGACCGCACCACCTGCGGAGGGCACTGGTGCGAGACGCGTTGAGCTCACACGGGTTAAATTCTACAGCCACATCATTGAGGCCGCTCGCGATCATCGCAATGGGCCAGATCGGCTCTGATACTAAGTATGCTTCCATTCCCACAAGACACCCATCAGGCACTTCCCAGCATAGGTAGAGATTCATACCGAGAAGAATACTTTCGTAACGTGGAGGGAAAAAAAGGAGGACCGCTTCTGTTTCAAGTGAATCGTATGATCCTGCTCTTAATTCTTCAGTTAATCACCACATCACAACACACAATCTAGTAGGACGCGCACCAACGATGCAGACATTTCCCTCGTCAACCCAGACGATTCTGAAACCCTGTAAGAAGCCACTTACAATTTGATGGCTATTCAGAATCCACAGAGTAGTCCGCATGAAATCACGTCCCAAATTCTTATTTCGATATTTCCCGCCCAGGCTCCTACAAACTTAATGTCAACACCATCGAGAGCGCGATGTATTACTATATAATGATGAGGCTGATCCTGCCGCCTCACATCAGAGTCACTGGCCTCGGTAAAGTTGGCATGCAGGTCCTTCCCACAGACCGCTGAGCTGCTTCTCAATCTTCATGATGTCAATCTTGTTCAGCTCATTAAGCGTCGTGATAAGTGGAGGGATGGCCACGGGGTTTCCAGTAAGGGGAGACTCCAGTCCTCAACATACACATTTACACCCTAAACAAGGGCCTATATCTCCAGATCTCTCTCCCTCTCATGGTTATGATTGATTGAATCCTACGGCGGCGGGGGCAATGAATGAGAGATGCTCTTTCCATCTTGGAGTCCTTTTGTGGGCTTTTGAAAACACCCTAAATCAGTCTGTAATATCGTTTTGTAGCGATCCACGTAGATGTGGTGGAATGGCAACGACGAGACTCTTGGCTGCTCCGGTCATCATCGCCAGTCCCGACGTCTGGAGATTCAATCGGCGAGAGGCAAAGAAAAAGCGGCATTTTGTATGTTTGTCTTATATGGATTTGGAGCCAGCTTTCCATTCAAGGTACTGTCAGTTGCGGATGTAGACGAACAGTGTCTGGACTGCGTTTTACTTATCTACTTTATGCTATGCCAGAAGTCGGCCCGGAATAGGAACTTGGATAATTCCTGTCAGCGTACGGCATGTTTATCATTTCTCGCGAAATAAATTGTAGGTGAATCGAAGCAATCATTCTGCTCATCAGTCTATGATTACGGCCCGACGTGGATTCTGCACACCAGTGATCACCAAGGGCACTCGAGAAGCATCTTGTGAAGGCTAGACAGATGACATCAAATAATCATGAGTGAAATTAGCTGGGAAAGATTGCAGAAGTTCAAAGTCACACAGTAGCATTACATCTCCGCTGTGGTAGGCTGGGTGACATCGTGCTAGCCCTGGGCCGCGAGCGAGTGTACTGAAAGACTGGATGACGCATTAGACACCCCAAGGCCTGGCGATCATCAGAGTCCCTTAAAGCATCAAGATAGACGTATAATTAAAGGGTGTTTACTGCTGCAAAGGATAGAAGTGAGGTTGTCAGACGTCGACCGTGGGCCGAAGGTGACCCGTATCCGTCCAGCCGCCCCGACAGCCGGTCCGGTTGGCGACGGGTAGGACCAGGCCCCGTGCCATCGGCATCGGCGGGGTCAAGCGGCTCCCCCCAGAGTTCTAGAGACGGCCTAGATCTTGGGATGGTCGGCGACCAACCAGGGGACGGGAAACCCCTCCATCCCAAATTCCCCAATGGATAAAATCAGATAAAGCTCTAGAGGGGCCCGAGCTATGTCATGGGGTTATTTTCTTACCATCTAGTGTACACGTGAAGAAGACGGAAACTCGACTCGTCTCGTCTCATTTCTTTACAGGAAAGGAACTGCACTTGCCAGCCTCATCTTGCTCGAACCTTATTCCTACGCTACTTTCTTCTCTACCACCTTACTGCATACCTACTCCTCCCATCTATCATCCTTTCAGTCCTCCACTGGCAAGGCTTTCCAGGTCGGTCCCCATTACCGCATCCTCCGCCGGCGGCCGAGAAAGTGCGCTAGCGAACGGCGGCATTGCATGAGGAAAACGGCACTAACGCACCTCCATCAGCCGCCCTGCGCGATCGCCCACCCAACCTTCTCCATACCTAAGCTTAACGGGGAGGAGAGCTTTCCCAAGAGCCGAATTCTGGGCAAGAGACTTTTTAGTGCCATTTTTCGCCATTTTCGCCTTTCAAACCGTCTCTCCGCCTCTTGATCACGTCACCAGACCCTTGTTCTGGCGTGAGGGACGCCATCTTCAAACCCCGTTTTACCAGTGTGTTCCTCTCTACAGTATCTTTTCGGTCTGAGGGCACGTCAACTGCCCATGTCTCGGACGTGATGGCCTCCGCCAAGGACGAAGCCGCATCGATGCCGGCAGCGGCAGCGGCTACTGCTTTCCCTCCTCCACCACCACCACCGTCGTCCGATGCTCATCCACCGCAATCCCAGTCCTCTGCGACCGCCTCGCCGAGAGGGTTAAGTAGGCGCTCCTCCTCCTACGACGGACGCTCGCCAGCGTCCCCGCGCTCCCTCTCCCGGAGGCAGAGCACCAACGAGCGCATCAACGAGATATTAGAGGTACGTCTTTTCACCTGTAGCTCCTTTCGCTTCTGCATCCTACCCCATCGCCAACAGAGGACCTGGGACTGTGGAACCCCTTTTGTGTGTGTTTAAACGTGTGTCGTCCGCGAGCATGTACATTTCGCCCATCGCTTGGCACCGACCCTTCTGGCCGCCAATCCACGGCATTTCTCTCTGAACCCTAGTGAATTCAACGTTGACCTCGCTTCTCCGTTTCCTTTCTGCCCATCCCCAATGTTCTGTTCTCCTTCATAATTCGGGATCATTCTCCCCGTCCGCCATCATACATATTTCCTACTTACACCTTCCTCTCTCTCCCAAAACAGAACGCACGAGGCCGCGCACAAGCCATGGGTGGCGGACTCTCAACAACCCGCTCCGCTCCCGCCAGCCCCCCGCGGTACTACTCCCGCGCGGACGGCTCCCACGATGAGAGCGTCGGCATCATCTCCCGTGGCCCGGACCGTAACTACCAGAGCATGAACTCGGCGCCGCAACCCTCCGCCGTCACCAGTACGGCGACGGCCCCGGAGCTGGCCGGCATGCGGCCGCGCAAGTCGGTCCAGTCGACGAGGAACTCTCTGCCGGCGCAGGCCGAGGAGGAAGGGGAGGACGAAGACTACGATGCCGTGGTTGCGCGGGAGGAACGGGAGAGAGAGGCGCAGAGGAAGGAACCCTGGTACACGATCCTGCTGTCCAGCTTTCAGAGCATTGAGCTGGAGAACAAGGGCAGTGTGGCCCGCGATCACCTGGCGCTCGGTACGTATTGCGCTCGCAGTCCCGGTCTGTCACGACGCCTCAGACCATCCGGGTCGGCCTCCCCCTCAACCTAGACGGCTCAGCCGCTTCTCCAACCCATCACGGTTCACCGCCTCTCTGCGGCTGCCAATGGGCCACATCGTATCCCTTCATGAATAACTTATCCTCCTCCATCCCCCAGGCAAACGGGGGCCAACTCCCCCGGGCGCTTTAGCTCAGTGGAACACTCAGCTGGGGTCTAGGGATTTCCACATGTCTTTCGAGACGGACCTCGACCCCTTGAGTTCGACTCCACGCTATGAGCTACTCTTTTTTTGCGATGTTTTGCACTTTCACTTATGAAGAATCATGGCAGCCGTATACAGACAGCTTCAGCTTACCGGGACTGACTAACCCTTTCCACCAAAAACAGAACGAACATTCCTAGCATGGCTCCGCACATCTCTAGCCTTCGCCTCCATAGGCATCGCCGTAACGCAGCTCTTCCGCCTCAACTCGTCCCTCTCGACGCCCGGGACCGACGACTCAAACAGCCACACCCTCCGCCAGCTGGGCAAGCCGCTTGGCGCGACGTTCCTGGGCATCAGCATCCTCATCCTGTTCCTGGGCTACCAGCGCTACTTCCGCGCGCAGCAGTGGGTGATGAAGGGCAAGTTCCCCGCGAGTCGCGGGACCATTATCATCGTGTCCATGGTTGCGTTTGCGCTGATGGCTGTGAGCTTGGTTGTGGTTGTGGTTGTGAGTCCTACGAGTAGGGAGCGGTGATGTTTATGCATTTTTACGGTTGACGGGGATTTCCATGTGTTTGGCGCCTATGTTTGTGTTGCACATGTATGAAATGAGAGCGTTCTGCATCACGGGGGCTCTTGGGATTTGAGTTGCTTTGAAACCTGCGTATCTGTATTGTATCGATTTACTTTTGATATGACGCAGCAATGAGCATATAATACCCTGATAATTTACAATCGAGGATGTTGTAATGCAATTTGTCGTTCTCTCTGGTGACATGAGAAAGAGGCCCTGGAAGCTATGAGATGGTCTACTTGTATACAATACTGCAGCGGCCGCAGAAACCGACATTGTGAGAATTTGAGCAACTCTGAACTCGTTCTCGAAAGATTAGGCGACTTATTGAGCATCCTACCTCTAAGACGAACTCGTCATTCGACCACCAGTTCTCAACCGGCATCATGCATACTTGTATTCATTCCGTGTACTCTGCCCTGCCAACCTCTGTCCGACGCGAGAACCACAAAGGGCAATTGCATCAATGACATATCGCAAGATGCAGGTATCCGGCCCGTTCGAGTACCTCATCCCATCTCATCCCATCTCGTTACCTGAAAGCTGAGAGCTGAGAGCTGGGAGTATTCCCCCCCTCTAAACCCCAACCTATCAGATGACGTCAAAAAAGCTCAGCCAGCTGCACCTCACATTGTGGAGACTCCGCACAGAACCACTTACAACAGGCGCAGACAACGACACACACACACACACGCTTTCATCTCAACTACAGCTCGCTCACCTTACTTCCCCCACAGTCCGTATACCATCACTCATCAACCTGCACACACATGAGCTTATGAGAACTCATCTCACCAAACAAGGCAATCTAACTCAGAGAGAGACGCCAGGAAAGGGGAAAAAAAAAAGGCATTGGGACCACGTGAATAAAGGGAAGGGAAAACAGCCCCTCCCCAAAATACAAACATGTCCACCTCAACAGAACCCCTCTCCCCCCCCTCCTTCGCAATAACCCAACTCACCCTCCTCGAAGCCGAACTCGCCGCAGAAGTCTCGGAATCATCCGCCCTCGTCTCCTCGCACTCCCCCACAGCCCTCCAGCGCGCAGGCCTCGCCCTGCCCAACCTCGTCGTCACCGCCCGCCGCACAGGTCTAGGCGGGCGTACCGTCCTCGAGTTGTCTTCGGATCCCGCTGTTGCGTCTTCTTCCGGTGAACTACCCGAGCATGGCCTCCGGCCGGGAGACATTGTGCTCATTTCGGAGCAGCCCGCGGGGAACGCGAAGAAGAAGGAGGTGAAGGAGCTCGAGAGCAAAGGGGCGAGGGGGGTGGTTACGAGGGTTAGGAGGGAGGTTGTTGGTGTTGCTGTTGATGAGGGGAAGGGGGAGGAGAGGGAGTTTACGGGACGGGTTTGGATTGTCAAGGTTGCTGATGATGTCACGTACCGGAGGTGAGATCTCCTGTTCTTGTTTCGTTTCCTTTTCGGTCGTCTTGTCAGTCAAGGATCACATGCTCGATAGAGATGGAGTCTGTCGGCTGCGTCACTTGATGCCAGGTTTCACGGAAGCAGGCTAGGCTCTGCGTGATTGACGACCTGTGGCAGTATCAAAATGCTGCAGCACCTAGCGGAGGAGCAGACAGGACTAACGGTAACCTACAGAATGAGCCAAACCATGGGCAAGATCGAAAAGATGACGGAATCGGAATACACGGCCTTCATGCGCGTCCTCTTCGGCCTCTCGAGTCCGTCGCCGGTACCCCCGGACCTGGCATCCGACCCGGATCTCTCAAAGATCCAATGGATCGACCCGTCCCTGAACGACTCACAAAAGGACGCCATCCGGTTCGCCCTCGCGTCCCGCGAAGTAGCCCTCATCCACGGCCCGCCAGGCGTGAGTCTTACCCCGTGGCACTCAAGATGAAAGAAAAAAAAAACGCCCATGACTGACGAAGAAGGAAAAAAGACGGGCAAAACCCATACCCTAATCGAACTAATCCTCCAGCTCATCAAGCTCAACCTCCGCATCCTCGTCTGCGGCCCCTCCAACATCTCCGTCGACAACATCGTAGAGCGCCTCGCCCCGCACAAGATCCCCATCCTCCGCCTCGGCCACCCGGCCCGCCTCCTCCCCAGCGTCCTCGCCCACTCCCTCGATGTCCTCACCCAGACCTCCGAGGCCGGCGCCATCGTGAAAGACGTCCGCGCCGAGATGGACGCCAAGCAGGCTTCCATCAAAAAGACGCGCAACGGCCGCGAGAAGCGCCAAATCTACGCCGACCTCAAGGAGCTCCGCAAGGAATTCCGCGAGCGCGAGCGCGGCTGCGTTGCAAACTTGATCCGCGAGAGCAAAGTCGTCCTGGCGACGCTGCACGGCGCGGGCGGCCACCAGCTCCGGGACCAGCAGTTCGACGTCGTTATTATTGACGAGGCGAGCCAGGCGCTCGAGGCGCAGTGCTGGGTGCCTTTATTATCGGCCAAGAAGGCCGTCTGCGCCGGCGATCATCTGCAGCTGCCGCCGACGATCAAGTCGCTCAATTCCAAGGCGAAGCCGGCGGCGGCGGCGGCAACATCAGCGGTACCCAAAGAAGACGCGGAGAAGAAGCAAATCAAGGGCATGACGCTGGAGACGACCCTGTTCGATAGGTTGCTCGCCCTACACGGGTCATCCATCAAGCGTATGCTCACCACGCAGTATCGCATGCACGAGAACATCATGAGGTTCCCGTCGGACGAGCTCTACGAAGGGAAGCTCATCGCCGCGGAGGCGGTCAAGGAGCGCTTGCTCAGAGACCTGCCGTACGAGGTCGAGGACACGGAAGACACCAACGAGCCAGTCATCTTCATCGATACGCAAGGGGGCGACTACCCCGAAAGGAGCGAGGACGACGACAAGGACGCCGTCAAGAAGGCAAAGTTCAGCTTGCATGGGGAGAGCAAGAGTAACGAGATGGAAGGGGCTCTGGTCCGGCAACACGTTCAGAAGCTGGTCGACGCGGGAGTGAAGCCAGAGGACATCGCCGTCGTGACCCCTTACAACGCTCAGGTAAGCCTGGTCAAACCCGACGAAGCCCCCCTTGATTATGGATCTTCTGTTTGGAAATCCTGGGTCCGCCGCGAAGAGCCGCAAGGCATGAAAGCTGACATCGGATGAACCGAACGCAGCTCGCCATTTTAGCGCCCCTGAAAGAACGGTTCCCGGGCATCGAGCTGGGCAGCGTGGATGGCTTTCAGGGCCGTGAAAAGGAGGCCGTCATTGTCAGCCTTGTACGGAGCAATTCCGTAGGAGAAGTAGGGTTCCTGGGCGAGAAGCGCCGACTGAACGGTAAGCTTCAAACGAGAGATGATCCCGCCGGCCACGGCCAGGCTGGGAAGATCCCAGTATGCAGCCGACCGTTAGCGCATGAATGTTAATGCGTTCTTAGTGGCGATGACGAGACCTAAACGCTCGCTGACGGTGATCGGAGATTCAGAGACAGTCAAGAGGTGAGTTGGTTTGAGAAAATTGCTTTCTTTTCCCCCTTCTTCCCTAAACCTCCCCCTTCCCTAATTGATTTTGGGGCGTGCGGCGCAGAGCACCTCTGCAGTATGCACAGATGGTGGCAGGCTTGTCCTGAGACATTTGCTGAGCCGCGTCAAACGTCCAACATCTCGGGCCTGTTTCTTCTTTTTTTGCTAACTTGGGTTGTGCCATGATCAGAGGCAGCATCTTTCTCAAACGGTGGATGGATTTCCTCGAAGAGAACGCTGATCTACGTTACCCGGATCTATCGTCACTTCAAGGGTCCTGAAAGGTCCCCAAATTTGGGATGGTTGGGGAGGTCGTGGGCTGGCGGCGGCACCGAGGGACCATCTTCCATGCAAGGCCCGCCCCTCTCCAATGTCGACCTTTATGCGATAAGAGGATTCGTGGCAAAAAAGAACAGACGATCTGGAATACCGACGAACCGGCTTTGTCGATGTGGTGGCCCGCCGTGGAGGGGTAGCTGGGATGAATCCTTATGCGATGGGATGTGCTGGTTTCCCAACGATGCCAAAATAGGAAAAGACTGCATTGTCTGACTTTTGACGCAGCGTATCGTAGAATTTTGAATCGGCCGTCAACCATGCTTGCGGCCCACCAGAGGTTCATTGGGGGAGGGTGCGTCCGTTGACGCAAGTTGATGGGCGCCAAGGCATAGGCGATTTGGGCCGTGTCGTGTCGTGTTCGCGGTCGAGGGCCAACGGACGAAAGAAGACGGGAGAGAAAGACTTTGGGTCCTTGGGAGTGGAGGGACGGGGGCACAGATGTCAGCCGTCACTGATCAGACGAAGAAAGTGGCATCCATGTATGTTTCAGGTTACTTTCCACGTCTGGCGACCTGTGCCATCCTTGTTCGCGTGGCCAGACCCGCCATATTCTCCTACCGAGGAAGAGCCTAGGAGGGGGATGCTTGAGTTGGACGTTGCCCTCTCGGTCTCGACGAGATTGTGCGCTGGAATTCGCGGTGTCTTCGGGGTTATGTACGGAGTCTGCGGACTACTCGTACGGATAAAGTATTTGAAAGCAGACCTGAGACTGCGGCTGATATTGGGTTGCCCGCACCAAAACTCAACAAATCAGTCTCGATCCTTCTTGGCACAAGATATCATCTGTAATCTGACCAGGGCTCCCTCTCCTGTATTAGGTTGAAGCCATATCCGTCGTAAAGACAAAACCAAAGTGAAAAAGCCTGTCACCCATCTTGTACTCTGCATATCTCGTTGCGTTGACTCTCGCTGCGTTATGCACTCCGCCTTGACTCCGCGCAGCGAATATATCTTGTTGGCTATCGCATCTGTTATTATCAGATTGTACCATCCCGACTGCTCAGCCAAGTTTGGGAAGCTTAGACATTCGAGGTAGAGTGTGAGCTAGGACACTGCATAGCCCAGATCACTCACAGTCGGTCGGCACATCAACTCGCTTCCAGAATAATGGTTCATCTCCATGTCTATGAGACATGGCCAATTCCGGGGCAAACCACCAATTGGATGTGTGTTCCGATGGCTGGGAGAGCGCTGGCGAGTAATGTGCTTTGCCAGCAGCTTCAGCCGTGCCATTTGCTATACTCGGCTCCTATAGATGCCGGCTGCTCGTGCTCTGGGCTGACGGGCGATCATAAGTCGGTTGTCTCGCTATATGATGCTCCGCCAAGGTCCACTGTGCAAGACGATCAAACTGTTGCTGGAGCGGGATAGCTTCTCAGGTGTTGGATCGAGGTTGGACTGAGGGGGGGGGGCCTACATTGACGTGATTGACTAGGCACGAGCACTCCGTGTGGGTGATTTGGCATGGCTTTGCTATCCGTACCGCCCACGTAACAGTAATGCATTGCATGATGTTGGTTGTCCACGAGGGAGCCGCCGCCTTTCTGGATGAAGCTATATCGTGATCGCATATAGGCACCCGAAATAGCTGACTGGCCCAGAATTTTTCCGACACTTTGTTCTGTGCGACTCTGGCAAGGTGTCATAAACCAGAACCTCAAGGGAAAAGAGTTACGGCGGGTTCGCGGTGCCTTTGGCCGTCGCCGAAAAACCCCCACGAGTCAGGGTGAACAGGCCAAAGAAGCCAGCATACTGCGTTGCGGAGAAGCTGTCCACATTGATACGAGCCGTAGAACTGTCGTCGAGCTTCGTCCAGAATTGGAATGGCCTTGATCTAGGCAGACAATAGGGGACAGCGGGGGTCCTGCTCGATGGGCAAAAGGCTTGCAAGCCATGTGGTGGTTTAGCCTCTGAATCCTGCGATGTGGGGCTGTCCCAAATGCAGTTGTATGGATACTGGCCTGTCTTTTGGACGCGAAGATGCTGCACGTCGTCGACGGGGGGGGGGGGGGGCTGGAAGACACGCCCGAGGAAGGGCTTCGCTCCTACAAGAAGGGGCTCAAAGTGATTTGTGATGGAAACTTCTTGATTCCCACGCAGTATTGGAGTATTGAGTTAGGTAGTTGTGCCGCAGCATCCAGATGTTGCTGCTGGCGTGAACCAAGAATAGGTAACGCAGGTAGGTGGCAGGTGCATGCAGGAGGACGTGGCATGTGGTTGCAGCGATCCGAGTGAGGAAAACTGCGTCGTAACCTGCGGCTCGGTGGCACATTGGATTCGTCGGAGAGGCTAGCAATCACATCTCTGCAAGTGCAGCGTTGCTTCTAAGGAGCTGAACCTAGCGCTACTACAAAAGATGAACAGTCGTCGAGCAATCGGGATTCAACCAGCTAGAATCTAGTGTGAATGGCTGTCAGGTCTGACGGCGGCGGCGCCAGTGAGAGTGACAGAGGCATCCAACCGCAAATGAGATAGTGCAAACGGCCAGGCGGACGAGACGAGTTAGTGCCGTCGATTCTTGGTGGCAGGACGCTCGAAATTCCAGCATTCCGTTTGCCGGGGCCTTCGCTCACTTCCTATTGGGGTATGGCAAGCGTTCGCTGATACCCTAGCGCGGCGTCATGATATTGGACGACTAGTTGGCGATAGAGGTCTTGGATGGCGGGATCTGGGACACCATGTCGGGTGAAGATGCTAGCTAGGCTTGGTCGAATTCCGATGGTGTTGGTCGATGGTTGACAGACTAGGAGGTTAGACGCAGCGTCGATTGTTGGTAAGAATTACCAGCACCCTCGAGCAGCATGGCTTTGACCTCGTCCACGGCTCGTCCGTCAACTTGAAAGACGACTGGGATACATCATACAAGAGCGTGGACTTGAGAGACGAGGCCTGTCGCTGGTCGATGCCTTCCCCCGTTCAGCACGGATAGAGTCGGGGTTTGGTAGCGACAAGGCCAAGAACCGGGTCGAGTGATGCGAATCTAGAGTCGTAGCGAGTGGCAGTATCCGTGTGTAGAGTAGTAGTATGTAGCCGTAGGCGGCATCATCAATCACACACCGACTCTCGACGACTGTCTTTGGCTCTTTTTATCGGTGTGTGCAGGCTTGTTGCAACCCGAGGACCAAACGAGGATGTAGGTGCTGGTAGTCTCGTATCTGGCGATGCGAGGTGAGGTTGACACACACGGACCACAAGTCACAAAAGTGACCTGCCACCTGTGACCTCAACATGGATTCATGGAATGAGCCACGGCGGGACGGGCAGCGGGAGCGAGTTCCCTTGTTGGGCCCCCATGTTGATGTGGAAAAAAAGAAAAGGAAGCAAAGACTGAAACAAGACGCCAAATGCGGCAGCTCCTCGGAGGAGAAGTCGGACCAGCAATCCGGGTGAAATGGAGCCGGCAGAGCCGGGAATTGCCTTTCCATAGACTCCATACTGCGTACTGCGTACGGAGTAGGTGCCAGGATTACCTCTCTTTCCTTCCAGGTTATCACTCTTCTCAAATCCTTACGAAGTATTTACCCACGGAAAGTTCTTACTCAGTGCCGCCTGCAGACATCATGTCAGGACCACAGATGGCGGCAGTCACGCAGACAGGAGGAGCCTTCTAAAGTAGTCTCCACCAGAGGTACTTCTCGAGCATGGTATCCGTACCTGGTACCCTAGACATCTACGAACACTTCGTACTATCCGTTGACTCCTCATCTCACAGCTGTCAGTGCAGGTGAGTCGCGCATGTGGGGGTGCTCACGGTCGTTTAACAAGCAGGTCGCGTGGATCACAATGACCTTTTAGGCATTCGGGAGGGTAAACTGTTTTGCGTTGAGGCTGAGACACTGCATATCCGTGGGAAAAGTGTGGTCCTGGAACTGGAACTGCCACTGACGAGACGAGAGAATCCAACGATTGATACGGATATCTAGCCCTCTTTTCATAGCTTTGTATGGGCACTACGAAGTGCTTACTTTTGCCAATTCATTGCTCACATACCATACCTTGTTCAGTCGGTGTAACGAGCGCCAATATTGGCCATCTTCATGCCACTTTTCACGATGATTCCACTTCAACATGCCCGCCCCCCGCTCACCACTCGTTCCCTTGATCGACGCCTGGAACATTGTTTGTTGATGGACAGAAGAGCCGACGTCGCTGGCTTGGTGCTTGCCTGGATGACCAGTATTGAACACCAGTACAATGTGCCCAAGACCTAGGTCACCCTCTACGCCTCTCGTTCTCCCACATTCCACTCATCCCTCACGTCGCTCATACACGCCCACGACGCCCAAGACGCCCTCCTCCTGCGTATGGACGACACACGATATCTCAAACGTGACAATTGGTCAAAGTCAACGTCCACCCACGTTCCTCGTCCAATCCCGACTCATTTTCAACCACACAGACCTACCACAACAACAGACACCATACGCAACTCTTGCAGCTCACGTCTAGTCCCGGCTCTGTGTCCCCTGGCAAATGGCCTGCTCTGACATGCACAACAAAAAGGTGGCTTGCCTTGGATGGGCAAGGACACCGAGTTCAGTTGGTCGAGGTGTCACCGTCTGCGCCTCTAGCGCGACGACCACCACTTCCAGTCCTCCGAGACTCAAGTCTACGACCCCCAAATGTCCAATGGCTCATCCAATGGCTCCTCCAAGAGTCCAAAAACTCCAACATGCTCTTCCAGCCAGGGGGTCCCACGTCCTTTCTCCTTCCCCACTGCTCTGGGCGCCCCAAGCACTGGCCTCAAACAAGGGCCATCCCCCGAGCCAGGGAAGCCAAGAACGACATGGAGCAGGGGGCGGCGAGCGAACGGCGACGGCGAAGGCCACGAGGGGCGCCGGGGGCACCACCAGGGAGGGCACCCTGACGAAATGAAATGGAAACCGCCATGGAATGGGACGCATCGGCTTCCATTGCGGCTTCAAGCTTGTCTTTGACCTCGGACCTTTCCTGCTGCCCCGTCCCGTCACTCTGCTGAGCAATTTGAGTCTCTGTTCGCTCTCTCTTCTTTCGAATCTACATTTCGTCTGAGAACATGATGCGATGTGCGAATTTTGTGCCATAATATACCACGAACGTTCAGTCCAGATTTGGAAAACGCGTCTGCATGAACGGTGGCCATCCGTGCCGTAGACCGTAGGCGCAGAAAACCAACGGCTGGCCTGTCCTTCTTCTCGAATCTTGCGGCTTGCAACTTGCCCCATCACTGTATCCTAGACGCGGCCAATACACACCATTGACGGCGTTCCAATGGTCCGTATCCTCCTGGTCGTGCATGCATACTTGTTTCATCGCGCTAGCATCTGCGTCTGTTCTGCATCTGCCTCTCTGGACTCTGCCTCTTCTTCCGTAGTGTACCGTGTACGGATACATGGTCCCCATCAGAGCTTCCCGCCCTTGTCTTTCCATCTCCTCCTCGAGTCCCTCCCCTTCAGGAACCCTTGCTGGTTCGTTGTAAAGTCTGATGTACCTCGCAAAGTACATTGTACACATCGTGCGCAAGAACAACTGATACAGATACATGCCATTACTTTCCCTTTTCTCCCGCCCTTTCTGTCTTGTTTGTTTCTTTTTCCTTCTGCCCTCTGCCGTGTCGTGCTTTTTGCCGTTGTAGACACGCGGAACAAGGAAAAAAGAAGCATCTTCTGAACCAACCGCATCTCTTCGCTTCTTCCCCGACCAGTCTTACAACACATCTACTATTGTCTATTACTTGCCTATCGGCTTATTATTCAAGTACGAATACCTGCCGTACCATATTCCTCACCCCTCACTCCCTGATCTACTTCAGGTACCACTACTTTGCTCTCACGTTCCTTACATCTCTACCACTATTCATCACGCATTCCTCTTTTCTCGTCTAATTCATACCCTTCACCAACCATTCTTCTCCCACGCCCTACCTTTCAGGCTAAGCGGCGCGCTATACGCTACCGCCCGTTCTAATCAACATTGCTCCTCCGGCCCGCCTCGTCAGCCTGTCGCAGACCTGCCCGGGTGCTCCTTTGATACATGACGCATGCGCTGCCAGGGTCCCCCCTTCTCAGTTGCTTAACTACTACCCCAATCCTCGATCCCCTCGTGGGTTTCCCTCCTTTTATTCGCCTCAGTTCTCGTGCCTTGATTGACCACTCGACATCCTCCTCTCCTCTCGTACGGATACTCAGCGTCACCGCGGCTGTAGAGGGCGCATTTCGCCACCTCTCCCGCCTCTCCGATTCCGACAGGCCTAGACGACAAGCCGCATTGCTGTCTATATGCACCATGAATCAGGTTCCAGCATAGATCACCACCTGGCCTAGACATCTGGGGCGTCCGATCAAGAATCCCACCCAGCCTGGACTGGCGAACCGGGCATTGACATTGGCATTGGAACTAAACAAATCGTCACGGCACGGCACCGGACGCATCCCGTTGGCAATCCTCTTGGGTCTCACCAACATTATCTCTACCCTTCCCCGTCATCTCTCTTCGGACCTCACCACACTTCATGGCTTAACAGGGGTCGACTATCAAATACAACGCTCTTCGTCCTCCGGCCTTCTTCACACTCGCTCTAGCTTAGAGCCACGCACGAAGTAATCACCAATTGCTGGAACTGCCATGGGCCTCTTCAAGTCGGCCAACCCACCCGCCGCTCCTGGCGCAGTACCTCGATCTTTGACCGGCCAGTCCATTCGGGGCAAAATATCAGGCCCGATTCCCATCCCTAGCCCAGTCGACGACGAATTTCCAATGCGCAACCCGGGTACCGGGATTGCTACGCCTCTTACCGAGGGCGACATGAAGGAGCAAATGATGCATCCGCCGCAGGCCGAACAAAGGGCTGGGTCGATTGTCTCGGTCCTTCAGCCTCAGCCCGAAGTTTCACAGGCCCCGAGAGCAGACTCGGTGATTGCACCAACGGGTTCCGCCGGTTCTGGCTCCGGTTCAGCATCATCACCAACATCCGCGACACACGCGACACAGGCCAACACGCCCCAGTCACAAAGAAGAACAAACGCATCCAGCAACTTGCGGTATTCTGCCGTGAGTGCGTCATCTGAACAGACGGGCGCAAGCAAGGATCGTCCACAGCGCAAAAAGTCAACATTGCGCGGCGCATTGGGAAAGCTCTTTGGTCGCAAAAAGAAGACGAGCTCTCAGGGTTCGACCGATTCGCAGCGCGTATCGACGTACAACGCCTCGAACCAACACAAGAGCGTAAGTTTCGGCACCGGCTACTCCCGTACCATGGCATTCTTTCTGAACTTGGAGACTGACGGGGGACGAACAGGACACTTCCGGGTTAAGCCGAGTCAAGGAAGCTGAACCAAAGCGATCGGCGTCCTTGCCGATCACCGAGTACGACAGAGCATTACGGTCTCACTCCATTGGGCCCCAAGACATTACCGCTATTGAGAGTGCGCGCAATTCAATCAACGTCGACCCATCTCTGTATCAAGGCCACAAGAGGGCGGCCACAGCCACCACAAGTCAGATCTACTCGGCTCCTTTCAGGAGTCGTGAGGGAGAGCTTGCAGGTCTTTCGCCTCGCCCTGCAAGCACTCACGTACGCGGGAGCCGCCTTTTCACAGATGACGATGACCCCGAGGAAATTGGGCGAGCCATCACTAGTGATGTTAGCCAAAAGCGCCGATCCAGGAGTCTCAGTGGAATGCAGAACCCAGAAGGACGATCCGAAGTTCGGCGCAGAAGCGACGAAATCCGATATTGGAGAGAGAGCTATGACCCAGCCTTCATCGCATCGCCGGCGTCGTCCAATATTCCAGACCATGAAAATCAGTTCACGGGCATGGCCCCTCCCATGAGCATGCCCGAGTCCCCGATCGAGCAGGGACAGGTGCACACCCCACCTCAGCCATTCTCGTTTGGGAACTTGACGCACATGAATGTCATGGCCGGCATGAAAATCACGCAGGCGGCCAGTATCGAGACGCGCATCGAGACTCTAGAGGAGAGGATGCACCGTGTGGAGGACGTGGTGACGCATCTGTGCAACTCTGTTCCTGGATTCCAGATCCACATGAGCCAGCCGCAACGTCCTGCGCCTTCGGTACCGGGTTCGAATCCATCTTCTCAGACGACAAGCACTGCCGTCAATCCGGCACTGCAGCAACTCTCGCGCCAGCAAGCCCCAGTCTCTCGGTACAGTAGCTCTGCGCACTCCAAGGAATCTCACACCTCTTTCGGCGAGACTCCTACGTATGTGGGCTCTCTTCAACTCCCTGCATCCATGAACAGGCCGACCTCGAATTCCACCATCCGTGGCGTGACGAGCTTGCCTGCACTATCTCGTGCTGAGCCGAACAGGGCACAAGAGACTTTCACAGCGGATCACTACACGATGCTCTTGGCGCTGTTGGAGACGGAAAGGGCTTCTCGGCAGGCCCTAGAGTCTCAGGTCAAGAAGTTGACGAGGCGCTTGAATATGATATCTGGGCCCAGCGGTCACGGCCGCATGTCTCTAGCAATGGAGCCTCCCCCAACGGCCAAGTCATTTGGCAGCGTGTCTGCCTTTGACCAGGATTCATCCGATGAGGAGGAAACCGCATCCAGGAATCGGCAATTCTTGGCTGAAGACTCTGGCGTTGGGACCGGTCCTGGAGACGAGGACTCGTACTCGGAGGTTTTCGCTACGCCAAGGGAGGAGCAGCATCACGGCTACGGCGCTTTCGGGGAGGAATTGCGCGACGAGGACGAAGACCCACAGCGGAAGAAGGCAGCCAGGACATTGTCGCTGAGCCAAATGACGCTGGGCAAGAAGCCGTCGTCGACAGGAGTGCGGATTTGATGCTTTATTTGCGGCACCGTTTTGCATTGTTTCCATTTCAGGTTTGTCATTATACCCCGGGAGATGTTCTCCCACTCACGAGGCGACGATGACGATTCTGTTCTCGGCAGTCGTTGAGTTGAAGGCGTCTCCTGTCTTTGCGATTCGGCACTGATACCTGCCCCGAGCCTCCGACGGGCTCAGCATTGTCATGGTAGCGAAACATTTTCCATTTTAATTTCTTACTTTTTTTCTTACCCGTACATATGACTATCCATTTCCATTCTTGACGATCTGGTTGGAGCAGTCTTTGTGGGATACATCTCATTGACGAGGATTTCTGGTTTCTTTTTGTCTTATCAAGCGTGCGAATATCTCGGTGAGAGGAATGAGGGAGAGAGAGGTCAGAGAGCCTTTCTGCTGGTGCAATTGAATTTCAGGATGATAACGCCCGGCAGAGATGGAAAAGGTGGTAAGGTAGCCACAACCTGGTCCTGCAGGTTGTGTGCGTGTACAACAAGAAGGCGTGCCCTCGATTGGACACGGATTAGTTTCAATGATGACAAGCCCCAAAGTGCTCTGCTGCTTTCGATACAAGACGCACCAGATGTGTGGTATATTACGAGTGATGCATAATTCATGTTTTGTCTGACGGACAGACATCCAGGCAGACAGACGAACAAACAACGGGCCCGAATGACAAGGCTACCCAGTCGTAATCTCCGGATTGTCATCTCGGGGAAGAGAGTCCAGAATGTTTCGAGAATATCTCCAGGGCCCCAAGGCTGGTTGAGCCCCCGCCACCCTAACCATCGGGCCAGGTGAGTGTAACGCGGATTCGGGAAGCCTGGCAGCGTTATTAGTGGCTCGTCTTGTCAACTTGGTGTCAGCTCGCCCGCACTTGGTAATGGCGTTTGTCAGTGACAGCCTGATAAGTCGCCATATCGCTCCGCTCCGCCTCCCGCCCGACGAAAGCCGCACTTCACAGGTAAAAGCTTTCCTCAGCTCGAGAAAAGTCAGGCCAGCCAGCCAGCTAGTAGAAGCTATAGCGGGCCAGCCGTGACCGACGCTATTTGAGTAATGTTCCAATTGGAATTCCTCGGGCTTTCCAGAAAACTAGATGCTAGGCAATCTTAGCTTAACCCACTCATGAGTCGCTCCATCCATAGGTCCAGCCAACTCCGCAAAAGAGTAAGATTGAATAATAGAGGATTTGTGGATAACGTAGGTAGCTTCTCCGCTGTGTTGGGGAGTAAGGACTTGTGTGGGCACCTACGTAAGCACAACTCTACCTGGATGGAGGCCGTTATCAGTGGACTAAGCTCTTTGCACAAAAATGCCAACTACGAATACGGATACAAGGAATTTGGGGGCATTTTTCTGCGAACAAACAAACGCACATACCACCCAGCCTCTCTCTCACCTCCGCCCGCAGTTTCTTGCCCCTCTTGATTACTTCAACTACACACGTAACTCCGTTCACCCAACCCCTCGTTGTTCGTGTTGCGCGATTGATAGCTATCGATTGCCACTGAACGCATCGGCTTCCTGACCTCTATCGAGAAGGACAGCGAATATCCTCGACGAGCCGAGTCTTTTGCGCTTCATACAACGAAACTCTTTCGTCGCGACGGCAAGCTCGCGCGCGTTAGACCTCTCTTTTCGCAACCACAAAACCGAATAAACAAGAAACCGCCCAACATGTCCGGCTGGGTCGATTGGTCAAAGACCACGCAATCCCGCAACTACCGCGGTTCAACCTCCTTTGCGACGTTCATGATCATCGGGCGTACGTCTCCTCTCCTCTCCCCCTCCCCCACCAGCAACTCGCGCACTGAAAGCGAGATACTCGACAACGAGAAGAAGCTAACACCTCACCAATAGCAACCTGCTTCTTCCTAGGCATCCTCTTCGCCTCCTTCCCCTACGACTTTCCCCTCCTCTGGACCTCGGCCCCCGTCCCAGAAACTTTCTTCACCCACCTCGAAACCCACCTCAAATTCATGCACCAGTCCCCCCCGCTCATCGGCCGCCTCCTCAACATCATCGTCTTCACCGGCTTCCTCGGCTTCTTCATCAAGCTCTTCCGCCCCTCGGAAGCAAACGTCCTCTTTGACGGCGCCTCCCTCGTCCTCTACCTCATCGGCGTCGGCGTCTACATCACAAACATTGTCAAGGGGCTGAGGTCCGTCAGCGCGGGCATCTGGGATGATCCCAACTTCACGGGCGAAGTGAAAGACGGTCCCGTCACGGGGGAGATTATTCTGGGCAAGGAGGATAGCTTAAAGGTGCTGGCGGCGAGCAATACCATTTTGGCGCTCGTGTTGGTTGGCGTGTTGGTGTTGCAGGCTGGGCAGTGGTATGCTGAGCGCAAGGACCGCGAGGACTTTGCGAAGCTGGAGAAGGAGGAGAAGGGGGCCAAGGGATCTGCGAGCAAGAAGAAGCAGTGAATACTGGGCGGGTGAGGACTCTTCTGGGTGTTTGCGCAGGTGGCGTGTTCCGCAGAGATGGTAGTGTTGAGGGGCTACGGCATATCGTGATATTCGCATGCCCCCTTCGACTTGAAATGCGTTGATGGTAGTTGCGGTGACATTTGTCGATCGCATCGGTTCAAATAAGGATCACTGTATGAGGCGCACCATCAGTGAACAGGCAGATTGTGCCTCATTCAAAATATATCATATCTCAACGCCATCCTTTTTGAACTTTGACATTCGGGCTCTATTTAGACCCTAACCTCTCGATAAGGTAACAACGACAAGCAAAGAAATCCTGCTCCCTCAACTAGCAGTCCCACCGCATCTCTACTACAGATAAATGCGTCTACCTTTTTTTACTCCTTATCCCACTCACAGACAAGCCTTTACTCGAGCTTGAGCTGCTCAAACTGCTTAATCGTGTCCTCAAAACTCCTGGCTTCAGACTCGAGGTCCACGAGCTTCTGCTTGTCCAGCTTCTGAACGGCCTCGGCGACCTTCTCCTTGTAGATGGGGTCGTTGAGAACCTTGTGCTGCTTGTCAATGTTGGCGCGCGCCTTGTCAAGCCTCTTCTTGGCCTTCTCAACCTCGGCGTCGAGGTCGACGCGGCCCTTGACGTGCAGGTACACAGAGGCGGACGATGCGACGGGGAACGCGACGCAGCCGGCGGGACGGGCGGCATCGGAGGCGATGATGTCGATGCCCGTGACGCCCTTGCCGCTGAGAGTCTTGATTGAGGCAACCTGATCGTTGATTGTCTGGTGAGAGGTGGCATCGTGAGACTGGATGATAACTGAGGACCGCGTTAGTGAGTGGGATCTACATCGCAGTATTCGCAGAGGCGACTTACTCTTGCTCTCCTCCTTCTGAGCGTACTCGCTCATGAGGGATCTCGCACCACGCGAGCATCCCAGAACAAGCTCGTACGCGGCCTCAGACTTGGGGTCGTCAAACTTGGCGTCGTAGACGGGGTAGCTGGCAAGCATGATGGACTTGGTCTTGTCTTCCGGGCGGCGAGGCAGACGCTGCCACAACTCCTCCGTGAGGAAGGGCGTGAATGGGTGGATCATGGTCAGCGCACCCTCCAACGCGGTGTACAGGGTCTGGACGGCGCTGGCGGCCTCCTCAGGGGTGCCATCCCTGATGATGGACTTGCTGTTCTCAATGTAGACATCGCAGAGGAAGTTGAGAATGTACTGGTACACAATACCAGTGGCCTGCTGGAAATCTCTAGCCGCCAGAGCGGTGTTGATCTCCTTCGCGGCGTTGTTGAGCTTGTGAAGGATCCACTTCTCGGCGAGAGTGATACCAATGGTAGCCTCCTTGGCGGGAACGAAGTCCGCAGGCAGGTTACCCAGGACATACTTGGACGCCTGCCAGATCTTGTTGCAGAACTTTCTCCAACCAGTCATGACCTTGACGTCAAAGTTGACATCACCGCTCGTCGATGTGAGCGCAGCCATGGTGAAGCGAAGACTGTCAGCACCGTTGCGAGGCAGACCATCAGGGAAGGCCTGCTTCTGGTACTTCTCGGCCTTGGCAACTTCGCTGGGGTGGAGGTTACCAGTGCGAAGCTTAGCGTGGAGGTCCTCGAGCTTGATACCTGCGATGGCGTCCAGGGGGTCAATGACGTTACCCAAAGACTTGCTCATCTTGCGGCCCTCGGAGTCACGGACGAGGCTGTGGCAGTACACCTCAGTGAATGGAACCTGGCCAGTAAGCTTGATACCAAGCATGACCATTCTGGCGATCCAGAAGAACAGAATATCCCAACCAGTCTCGAGGACAGAGGTAGGGTACAGCTCCTGCAGGTCTTGGGTCTTGTTGGGCCAGCCCAGGGTTGAGAAGGGCCACAGACCAGAAGAGAACCAGGTGTCGAGCACGTCCTCATCTTGCTCAAGAGTGAAGTTCTTGCCGGGAAGAGCAGCCTTGGCCTTGGCCTCGGCCTCCTCGCGAGTCTTGCCAGCGAACCACCGCTTGTTGTCGAGGGAATCAGACTTCTCGCCCTCAACCTTGGCCAGGTACACAGGGCAACGGTGACCCCACCAAAGCTGACGGGAGATACACCAGTCATTGATGTTGGCCATCCAGGCGTAGAAGCTGCGCTCGGAGGACTCGGGCTTGATCTTGATTCTGCCGTCCTTGACAGCGGCAACGGCATCGTCAGCCATGCTGCGCATGCTCATGTACCACTGGGGCTTCAGCAGAGGCTCAATGACGTCCTTGGAACGCTCGCAAAGAGGGATAGTCATGGCGTTGTCCTTCTTGTCAACGTAGAGACCGAGCTGCTTGAGCTCCTCCTGGATGGCATAACGCACGCTGAAGAGGTTAGTTTGCATGACGGTATACGAGATCTACATGGTCACTTACTCGAATCTCTTCTGACCCTGGTACTTGCCACCATTCTCGTTGATGTTTCCATCATCGGTAAGAATGTTGATGAACTCGAGGCCATGCTTCTGTCCCAGGTTGAAATCGTTGGGGTCGTGGGCCGGGGTGAGCTTGACGGCACCGGTACCGAACTCCTTGTCGACGTAGGTATCCGCAACGATGGGCATCAGACGGCCTGGAATGATGGGGTGGATGGCCTTCTTTCCAACAAGGTGGGTGTATCTAGGATCATCCGGGTGAACAGCGATACCTGAATCACCCAGCATGGTCTCAATACGGGTGGTGGCAACCTCAAGATATTCATCGGCGCCCTCAATCTGGTACTTGAAATGAATCAGAACACCAAACTCAATCTTCTTCTCGTAGCCGGGAACCTCCAGCAGTGTCCTTCCAGTCAGCTCCTTGTTGATAACCTCGAGGTTGGAAAGGGCGGTAGTGAGCCTGGAAGACCAGTTGACAAGTCTGTTGGCGCGGTAGATGGTACCCTCCTCGAACAGTCTGACAAAGGTCTCGGCAACGGCGGCGGACAGATTCGCGTCCATGGTGAAGGCTTCACGGCTCCAGTCGAAACTTCCTCCCATCTTTCGGAGAGCAGCGTTGATCTTGTCGTGGTATTCGCCCTTCCAAGTCCAGACCTTGTCGACAAAGTCCTCACGGCCGAGGTCGTGACGGGTCTTTCCTTCTCTTCTCCAGAGCATATTCTCGACAACGCTCTGTGTCGAGATACCGGCGTGATCGCAACCGGGGATCCAGAGCGTCGTCTTGCCCAACATGCGGTTCCATCGAATCATGATATCTTGAAGGGAGTCGCCGAGGGCGTGGCCCAAATGCAGGGCACCGGTAACGTTGGGAGGAGGGTGAGCGATGACGAACTTGCCCGCGGGTTTGACCTTGCCCTCGGCAGTGAATTCGGGCTCTGTTGAGGTAAAGTTAGCTTACGCAAAGCCTCCCGTGAGAAAGGGGTGCGCCCAGTATCACTTACTGAAGAAGCCTTCCTTCTCCCACCAGTCATACCAGGCACTCTCGACAGCTTCAGGGTGATACGCCTTAAAATGGGGGTCCTCGAGGGGCTTGAGGCGCTTCTTCTCTCCCTTGGGGGTATCTTCAACGTATTCAGGGATAGCCTCTTCCTCCTTCTTCTCGGCCTTGGCCTTCTTCTCCTTGTTCTTGGACGCAGCGGGGGCTGCGGCGGCCTTTGCGGCCTTCTCGGCCAACTTCGCTTTGAATTTGGCGTCCTTCTCGGCCTTCTTGCGCTCCTTCTCCAATTCCTTCTCGGTCTTCACCTTGGGAGGTGCGCCAGCGGTTGCACCAGCATCTTGGCCGGCGGCATGGGTGGCGGACGTCGAGGCAACCTGAGCCTTGGTTTCGTTTGAGACGGCAGGAGGAACCTCCTCCTTGAGGCCCTCAGTAGCGCCGACTGGAAAGGAGACACATGGGTCAGCTCAATGTCTGGAGGCATCACAATGGCAATTGGGCCGGGAGGCATCGTGAGAATGTGGGGGGTGGGCTGGGGAAGGAGGGGCTTGCGCACTGGGGTTTCCGCGTCCGCTGTCGGTGGCCATGGTGGCACGTGTCTGTAGGAAAGGTCGAAGACGGGGAGGACGTGGACGTAGACTGAGTGATGGAGGGCGCACGCGGAGTGCTCGAAGAAATATTGAGTTGGACGTGGTGGATATGTTTGCGAAGAAGCCCGGGGAGGTGGGCTTCGACTGATGGTACAAATACAAAAAAAATCTCCAAAGGTTTCCGAGGAGGGGCAAGCAACTATGACTCGGCGGTCTGATTGCAGCACTTCGCGGATTTGAGTCACAGGATTGGGTGTTCGAGGAGGAGGGCCTTGGAGGGGTCATGCAGCTAAAATTCGGGTGCGAGCCACACGCGCAGGGAACCTGAGGTGCCCAGGTCCCATTTTCCAGCCACAGGCAAGGGGGGGTTTATCGATGACTTGCCTTATCGATAACAGGTATCCGTTCTTCAAAGTCGATAAGGTAGATACCAAAGTTCCATTGGGATGAGTCGCACGCCGCTTCTGCCCCTGGCGTATTTTCCTGCCGACGCATTGAACCTGGGAAGCTCAAGCTCCAGCCACACCAATCAAGGTCGTTGGATAATTCATCATACATTCATTCACTTCCTACCTTCCAAAGCTGGAGCAGTTGCGGGAACCTGACTCACACAAGACCTCCATTCGATTCAATGGGTTTGTAAGAAAGGAAGGAGTCTCATCAGCAACTGCGTGTGTGATTATCAATTCAGTCGCGGACGAAGAAGAAGCATACCGAGAGCTCAGCCCAGCTGGGACGTGGTGATCGTGACGCGATGTATATCCAGAGAGCCATCTCCCGGTTTACTCAATGTGCCAGACAACAATTGGCTAGACGAGGATATAAAACTGCATGCTTTTCAGTCCACGGGAATGAAGAGAGCTGGCAGGTGAGCCTGCCGGAAAAAAAAACATATGTTCCTTGCATTAAGGTCTCATATCTCATTAATACTGACCGTGTGAATAGGGTACCCTCGTTCAGAGAGTGACCAAGACCGTCAGGTCTTTACAGAAAGCAGGCCTCGAGAAAAATGACGGCGCGGTTGTAGTACTTGCTTCCAGGCCCTATGCGTCATGGCTGCTAGATGAAAAGTTCATGGCCGCATTGCTGCGACCCTTTGGGGATTCGAAATCATCCGGCGATGTGGGTCGCGAATTCAACGCTCTTACCGGTGTAGTTGATGGGCTTCACCCCCTCCGTGCATTCGGTGACATCCCACACGGATTCTCATTCTACTACGGGCCGAAGGATATGATCATGCCGAGGCTGTGGCTGGGGAAGAGCCCTAACGTGCAATCTGCTCCTCGTAGCAACGACAAGCTGAACGCTGCCATTACGTTTTCCTACGGGTCGAAGCCTGGCAGTTACGTATGCACACTTCCCTTGGCGAACACGATCTTTCAGAATGGCCTCCAGTCGACTCTCATCGCTAGCCGCTGGAAAGTCAACCTTAAGGGGGGTTTGGACCTGGTCGAGCGCGAAGAGCGACGGGCTCAGGAAGTCAACATCTACAACAGAGGGAGCGATCACACCAACTCGATTCAGGCACCCCTGGTCCCCATCACAGCTCCGAGGAAGATCGTATCAGGCCTGGGCAACATCATCAGGCAGGTCGACGTAAATGGCAAAGAGACGCCTGCTTCTGCGGAGCTCGAGACGGCTGTCCAAGCGCTCTTTGACAGGCGGACGGCAGAGGGCCACGAGTTCCCTCCGGGCCCCGTGGGTGTCTGGGGAGTCGTTTGTCCCCCTGGCGATGACCAAGCGGGGACCATTGAATTCCTGAATAAGTTGTCCGAGACAGCTTCAAAGGTACGGAACGCTGGAGACGAGTGGTCCATAGTCCTGAATACGAAGGAATATATGAGGTGGCTCATCAAGAGGGGTGCCAGGGTCTACAAGATTCGTAAGTTGAACACCCAGCCCAACAACGTGTAAGCTCATCTAACCAGTGAATGAAGAGAGCGGCGGCGGCGGCTGGGGGAAGAAGGCAGGCCTCCTTTCGCTCGATCCCGAAGTCAAGTATTCCGCTTCCTCCGAGGAAGAGGATCTCGACAGCTTCATCCGTTCCTTTGAGAACCGGAACGACGGCGGCGGCGACGCCGAGCAGGGCGTCATCGCTCCGGGCTCGTACATTCAATACTTTGTCGCTCCGCCCTTCACCGCCGCCAAAGTGAATACGGTAACGGAGGGTGAATCTCAGTTCACCGACTCCTTTGGAATGACGGACGACGCGCGGTTGGAGGCATCGCCGGTTCCAGCTTCGCGAGACTGGAAACAAATTCGGCACCAGTTTGGTGCGGTGACAACCCACGGGCTCTTCCTTGAGTGCAGGTCGCTGCGTCCTCTCGTCCGGGAGACGAAGCTGGACGTGCCCGGAGCGTGGATCGGACATTTGGGACTCCCTGACCAACAACGTTCGAAGTTCAGAAGGCTTAGCCTGCACACGGAGAAAGGCTTGGGGGGCTCAAGCTAAGATGTAAAATCTATGAATGTAAGACTTAGGGGGAAAAATTATTGTAATTGTCTTTATTGGTAATGAGCTCGGTCATGTATTTTCTCTCATCGTCGCTGCAAAGCTTGGGCCGGTCATCCGGTGTCGTGGTGTAGGTAATTGGGAGGGTTTTGCCGAAAAAGAACTGACGCAATTCTGTAACTTGCAGCTCAGATCGCCGCAAGTGGATATATGTCCTCTTTCTCTCATACATCTCATTCACTTTCATTAACCAGAGGTAGTTCAAGCATTTATACAGATATCTTAGACGACATAATCCTCAATACCCTGCTTTCTCAATCATGGCCGCAACCAACGGAACGCCCTCAAAGATTGGAGTCATCTCCATTGGCGACATGGGCGTCGGCATCGCCAAGCTCCTCATCGCCAAAGGCTTCCAAGTCGCAACGAACTGCAAAGGCCGCAGGTAAAGTCACCCAACCCTCCGCCTGCATGAGTTATTCATATGATGTTCAAATGACCTAATATTCTGGCAGCGTGGACACCCTCCAACGCGCCCGCGACGCAAAAGTAGAGCTCCTAGACACAGACGAAGCCCTAGCATCCCAGTGCGCCGTAATCCTCTCCGTCGTGCCCCCGCGCGACGCAGAAGCCACTGCAGACCGCATCATCGACGCCCTCGCCGGTACCCCTTCGCGCGAGACACCGCTGTACTTCATCGACATGAACGCCGTCGCTCCCTCCACCTGTAAATCCATCGCCGCCTCCTTCGCCCGCACCCGCACCCCCGCACGCTTCGTCGACGCCTGCATCATCGGCGCCCCGCCCAGGCCCAAATCCGCCCCCAACGCCGGCACCAATGTCTCTGCCTCGGCCCCACCGCCCGGTACCGGCGGCGAGGACGAGAAGGACGACCCGGATGCGTGGTACGTCCCGGGCATGCCCATGTCCGGCCCCGACAAGCTCTCCGACCTCTCCCTCCCCGGTTCCGCTTCCCCAGACGGCGCATCCTTTGGCGCCCGCCTAAGCTCGACCCTAGGCGGCAACCACATCTCGGACTCCATCGGCGCCGCCTCGGGCCTGAAAATGTGCTTCGCCTCCCTCTCAAAGGGCTTCACCGCCATCGCCACCCAGGCCTTCACCTCGGCCCACAGGATGGGCGTGCTCCCCCACCTGCGCGACGAGCTCGCCGCCCGGCTCCCTGCGCACCTGCAGTCCGCAGAAAAGGGCGTCGTGACGATGCCGCCCAAGGCGTACCGCTGGGTCCGCGAGATGGAGGAGATTAGCAAGACGCACACAGAGGAGGGCGGGTTCGGGCCCGAGTTGTTTGTCGGCGCGGCGAGCGTGTACAAGTCCGTGGCGGAAGATTCGCCGCTGGGAGGGGAGAAGATTGGCAAGAGGAAGAGGGGCACGACGGTGGAGGATGTGGCTGCTGCTTTGACGGAGGGGTTTGAGAGGAAGAAGAAGAAGACGGACTGAAGACTTATGAATTCTCCTCATAACTACAATTTGGACGGAATGTAGATGTTAGGAAAAGAGCCAAAAGTAGAGTTGAAGACTTAAATAGTGTCTCAGTTACATTCAACGCTGCACTAGATTTTGTAGTTTTCCAAAGATCGCTCTCGACGCCGTTCGTACCATGAACCATATGCTGCCTACCCAAACCTCCTAGCGCTTCTTATACCCAGTACTATTACACCATGATCCATTATGCGCCGGCCAAGATACTCTTACACGATATAACATCATCGCACGTTCGTCACAGAATTCCGTTGCCCTTATTCCAAAACAGATATTACAACACTGACAGTGTCAAGTCGCCCGACAGCTTCGCCTTGATGTGCACCTCGACGTCCAGATTGAGCCTGAGGTCGACAATAAAGCCTCGTTCGCCTTCGTGTAATATTTCTCGCGGGTTCTTCTCGCGCTGCGGTCGCGGCGTGGAGAAGTCAGGACCGTCGGGAGGGAGCTCGCCCCCGTCCTCGGGCATCTCAGTTATCGGAGCTCTCAGGGATAGATTCATACCCGACGGTCGCCGACGACACGCAGGAGGCCGCCGGATCGGCGGGAACGCTGACGACGACGATGATGACGAGCTACTCGTGGTGTCCGTGTCAGATGCCAGCGCAGACGCGCTGTTCTCGCCGAGGCGCGGCACTCTTCTAGGAGCAGCCCGTCGGTTGGAATGGCCTGAGCGGAGTGGTACTGGGTCGACTAGTTGCTCATCTTCCGAAGGCATCGCTGTCGATGGTGCTGGCGCAGGCCGAGAGACAGCTGGGCGTCTTCTGGCAGGTCTCGACGCCGACTGTCCCGAGCCTGACTGATTAGGCCTTGTGTTGGCAGCGCTCTCTTCGACGTCGTCAGTCTCCCTGTCACGTTCAGAGCCGTCTGACGCAGGTCTCCTACTTGAGTCTGATCCCTGTGGCCGCGGCGGTCTCCTTCGTTGCTTGGGTGGTTGAGACTTTGGTCGAAGCCGTGATTGTTCCTGGGAGTGGTTTGGTGTAAGTGAGGTGTTGTTGTTGTGTGAAGATGGCGCAGGGCCCTCCGTGTACTGGGCTGATTCCATCCCGTGTAAGTAATGAAAAGTCTGCCCAGTAGACCCGGTTGATGGATGACGACGGAGTAAAAGCTGGTTAAGAGTTGGCTTGATTGACCCAGGATATGCTGAACAGGACGATGGTGGTTGCGTGTGTTCCGCTGATCCCAAAAGTCAAGATGTAAGAGCTTCGAGGGTTGAAACAAACCCTCGTGTCACGCTCTGCAGGTGGTTTGTCTCTTTATGTGTCGATCGTTGTTCTCACGATTCAGTCGTACAGCGAAGGGCGCAAGACGGGCCTTCGTGCTCGGGAGAGGTGATATAAGTCTGTCCTATCACTAACAGCCGTCATATTGTTGCGCTTGCCCTATCGTCGGTCCGTTTAGGGTCGCCAAGTCGATGGTAGTAATCGGTGTCTCCGTTGGATTAAAGTGTGGTCGTGTCCGTGTTCACGGTTCACCGTCGACTCTCCATTCCGGTTGCAACGATTTCCAAGGTTTGAGGTGACGGTGGGAAGAGAGAGGCAAGGTAGACGCCGGCAGAGAGTTGGAGTCTTGTGGTGGGAAACTTGGGGGAGAGGCGCAGACTGGGGGCCGGGGAGAATGAGTGGGCAGTCAGTGCCAGAGCTTCTTCCTGCGACGTGCAAACGCGGGCGCGGGCGAGGTGCATGCACCCTGACGTTGCAGACCGGGACGTGCACTCAGCGGGGGGCCTGGGGCGACATGGGCGATTTTTCTTGGTTTTTGGAGGACCGTTGCCAAGTTGCATGTCACACTCTCACATGCATGGAGGGTCCCCCGGCGATCGCAAACTTGATTTCTTAGGGGGGCTGCGCAAGGCGGCTCACTCGTGGTCCTCCCCAGATAGGCATGTCCCTTGTTTTGACGACTGCGATTTACGGGCACTGCAGTTTACATACAGACAGCCAGTCCAGCCAGTCCAGCCTGTCTCACCCACACCGAGACATGCCCTGCCCTTTGCCGCATACCTTAGTTGAAGATGAGCCCAGTTGGACAACCAGGCCCTGGTACCCTACCTAGGAACAGCCGCTACCATCGACAACTCGTCCTTGTTGAGTTGCTCCAGTCTCCGGGGGGGCCCAAAGCGGCGAAAACGGGGATCCGCAAACCTACCGAGTAACATCGGCAGGAATATTTCAGGAAATCTTTGGTGGACCACTCGGGCAAGTGGGCACAGAAACCACGGAGGCAATGCCGAAGAAAAGGGTTCAAGACTCCAAAATCCTTGATTGGTGCCCTGGTTCACTCGAGTCCCTGATTTTGGACCATGCGCGGACTGTAATCCGGATTCAGAACAGGCTCTTCAACAAGCTGATGGTGTTATTGTTGACTTCTATAGTTAAGGGTCCACAATGCTTTTGGTGGAGGCGCACAATGGAGGTTTTTTGATAACTGGCTTTCCACGTGTCTCAACCAGACTTCTCCTCTCTCGCACCTTGGTCTGGTGACTGGTCCGAGACATTCCGTGCAGCATAAACCAAGGTCAGACTAAGCTGTACCAGGGTTTACTCGATCATATCGATATCGTCGTTCGCGGCGGGTACCGCGGCAGCGGCAGCGCCACCGTTCGGCTGAGGCGCAGCCTCTCCGGAGTTGCCTCCGCCAAAGTAGTCAGCCATCTCGGCATCCAATTCCTCCTGTGTCTTCCGAGTACGACCGTCTCTACCCGAGCGGCCACCTCTTCCGCCTTCCTGGTCTCTGCCGCCATCTCTACCACCATCTCTGCCACCGTCTCTACCGCCCTCTCTGCGAGCTCCGGGTCTGCGTCCTCCGCCACCGCCACCGTTTCCGCGCCGGCGGGGCATAGGGCTTCGCGAACGGTTTCCGCGGTTTCCTGGGACGTATCTGTCAATGCCTCTCTCAGCAGCCTCGTCGACGTCGTATCGTCGTCCAGGAGACATGGATCTTGACCGGCCACCGGGAGCAGAGATTCGCTCTGCAAGTGGACGGCCCGGCATCACCGCCGAGTCAAAGGGGTTGCGAGATCGACCGCCAGCTCCACCACCCATGATTGACAGTTTGATCGGTTGGCCTGAGATGTTAGTCTTGAGCTGCCACTGACAAAGGGAGTAAAAAAAAGGCACTTACCGTTAGCATTGGCACCGTCAAACTGCTTAATCGCGTCCAAAGCATCCTCGCGGGACTCCATCGTAACGAAGGCAATGCCCTCCGAGCGACCAGCGCGGTCATACTTGAGGTCCAACTTCGCGACAGGGCCGATTCTGTTAAATAATTCCTGTACAAACTTTAGCCGTGACCACGTTATTCGTCACCTTCAGGGGGCCGTACTTCCAAGTCTTCAGGAGTCAGCTCATAGTGGATGTTCTCGACGCGGATTTTCGAGCTGCTCGAATCCCTGTGACAATCGGTTAGTGTATGCTCGTATCAATTACTGCGCCGAACTTGCCTTTGCTCAGGCTCATCGCGTCTTCGTCGAGGGGCCGGCGCACGGCGGATGTCTGCTCCGCTTTAGCTCATGTCGTAGGTGTAGTATAGAACCTTCGGTCGTACCGTGCTCTTCAAATCGATCGTGAACCCATTCGCTGTTCGCAGGGTTAGCCCACTGCCGGTTTGGGGGTGGGAATTTACTTGGACTTACCTATCGAGGTTTCTAGGCTCGTCACGGAAGGACTGTATCGCAGGATGGCGACACCTGTTAGCTTGGCCCTTGCAATCGACAGGTACCGCTCCCGGCCTTCAACGAGACGGTCGGTATGGAACCGAAAGCTGCGCGATAGTCGTGGTCGACCGGGATGAGGAGGGAGGAGGGTCATTCAACCTGGACAATCAGCCTGGAGATCCACCAGGTGACGGGTTGTGTATGGTACCGTACCTTTCTAACGCCGTCGCGAGGGTATTCCTGACGTTCGCGTTCGCGTCTTCGGGGTGCACCTCTACCGTTTCCACGGTTGTTGCGAGGGCCGTCGCTCTTCTGCAATTGCTTGAGTTAGGTCCGAGGTTGCGTATGGTGCAAGGCTGCGAGCTTCCTTACCTTCTCGCCGAGGATCTCGTCGAGGCTGCGGTCCAGCTTGTCCGCCATGTTGATTTGTTGGGTGAAATTAGGTCCAGAAAAGGATTGATGCAACCCAAGATGTCGGATTGGGCGGTCAAAGTCTTGCCTCGGTATTGTGGGAGGTGAACTTTAGTGCAGGGTGTAAACGGACAACAATGCTGATCGCGACTCAAGTGACCGAGTGCGGTAGGCACAGCTGGTAAAGGCAGGCACGGCTGACTGCGGATTGAATGGAGCATCCGACCGCCAAAGGGGTGTGGCGCACCACGGTGCGGCAGGGACAAAAGTGGGTATGTGGCTGGAGGACTTTACTGGAACTTTGCTTGATTGGGTTAGCACCAATTGACTTCGAGATGCAGAACAGGAAATGTGAGAATAGCTCCCCATGTTTTGGCGCCTGGTGGGCTCCCCACTACAGGTCTCAGGGGTCCGAGTAATCCATTCCATTCGACCCACTTCAGATTCCCAGTGGCTTCCCATCCACCGTTATCCACTCATTCAGTGGAGTGAACCCGCAAGTCTACTGTGTAAGCACCAAATAGCGCTGCTGGTCGCAAGCTTTATAGGCGCTGTCTCGCTTGTCTCGCCTGTATCATCCGTGCCGTCAGCGCCCTGCATCCCCTCATGTGAGGCAGGAGGATCTCTCGGCCCGGAATTAGTCCTCGAGGGAGATGAAGCTAAGCCCCTTTTGTCGTCTGAAGTGTAACTTTACTGTAGAGCTGTCCTCCCGATGCGCCTCCCTTGAGTTGACCAGCCCGCCAGAAGTAGGAATCTCGTATCTGGCCAATTTCTTCACTCCCTCGGCGAGAGACACACGAGAAGGAGCGCTCAGTGTCATCTTTCATATCTAGTGTATGGCACCCCCAGTTTCCTGCGACAAAGGAAAGAAAACCGACCTGCTCTTCCAAGGACCCAATACCCGCGATAACTAAAGCTCGCTTGCAGCTTCGCGAAAGCCAAGCCAAGTCGACAAACCATCGAACGACCACCTCTGATCCCTCCACAACCTTTATGATTTTCGCATAGTCTTTCTACTCATCAGATTGCCCACCATGGCCCGCCCCATGGGGTCAGTTCGCTTGAAGAAGGCGAACCCGGTGACCCTCGTCCTCGGCGCCGTCCTCTGCATCTTTATCGTCGTCTTCCTCGTCGGACCCTCCAAGTCAACAAAGGCAGAGCCGGCCGGTACCGCCTCCCACCATCTATCACCTCCTACCGCCCCCTACCGAAAGAAGGCCAAGGGTGACACGAGACCGCCGCCCGTCGTTCGCTACAACCTCAACAATGTCACCATCACGACCGATCCCATCGGCAACCGCGAATCCGTCCTCATTCTGACGCCGATGGCGCGTTTCTATCAGGAATACTGGGACAACCTCTTGAACCTCAACTACCCCCACGACCTTATCTCCCTCGGTTTCATCCTGCCCAAGACCAAGGAAGGAAACGCGGCGACGGCAGAGCTGCAAGAGCAAATCACAAAGACCCAAGGCTCAGAGAAGAACCGCTTCAAGAGTATCGTCATCATGCGCCAGGACTTTGAGCCGGCCATCGTATCCCAGGACGAGGGCGAGCGGCACAAGATGGAGAACCAAAAGGGCAGGCGCGCCGTCATGTCAAAGGCTCGCAACTCGCTGCTCTTCACGACCCTGGGCCCCCAGACGTCGTGGGTGCTCTGGCTCGACGCCGACATTGTCGAGACGCCGCCGACTCTGATCCAGGACCTGGCAGCGCACGACAAGCCCGTCATCGTCCCCAATTGCTTCCAGCGCTACATGAACACGGAGACCAAGAAGATGGAGGAGCGGCCCTACGACTTCAACAGCTGGCAGGACAGCGAGATTGCGCAGAAGATGGCCGAGACGATGGGCCCCGACGATATCCTGCTCGAGGGATATAAGGACATGCCGACATACCGCGCGCTGATGGCATACTTGGGCACCGACGAGAAGGACAAGTCGGTGGAGATCCCCCTGGACGGCGTCGGCGGCACTGCCTTGCTCGTCAAGGCAGATGTCCACCGCGACGGAGCCATGTTCCCGCCTTTCTCCTTTTATCACCTCATTGAGACTGAAGGTTTCGCCAAGATGGCGAAGCGCCTAGGCTGGCAACCGTTCGGACTCCCGAATTACAGAGTAAGTAGACCTCGTCAAGATGTCATTGATCTACACAACCGCTCACACTACTTCAGGTTTATCATTACAATGAGTAAGGGCTAGGCATCGGGATGGATGTGATCTGGGAAACAAAGAGAGCAAAAAAAAGGAAGAGTACATCACGCCTTCCATCTACGGGTGTTCAATGGAAAACAGAAAGTTGAAACATCCCCCACCCACCTCTCAGTCGCCAACAGCATCGGCGGCGGTATTACGAATTTTACGCGCAGAACAACCCGTTGGAAAGAGACCCTACATGACCCTTTATCCCTATGTGCAGATTACCTCCTTTCTTTCGTATCTTGCCAAACAAAATTGCGTTCCAATTTCTTCGGGAGGAAAAATGGCGGCGAGGATAGGGCAACAGGCGTTCTTTGTAGTACATTTCACACAGCAAACTACATAAACAAATCCGGGAGTCTGGTGGAACATTGGGGGATTAGCTGCTTGAAGGGGGTGGGAGAAGGCTTTACTGCTTACAAGTGGCTTCTTGAGGGTGTAAGATAAAATCAACGAAGCGCCGCGAGGAATCGAGAGGGGGGTGTAGTGACGGACCGTGGGTTGAGCAAGATATCTGCGGCATTAGAGAGAGAGCACCGATTTCATGTTTTCAAGGGCTCTAGTGTGATAGAACAAATGACATTTTTATCTCAAAGTGAGCTTCTTGCTGCAATTTTACAATCTGTCATTGAGTGATGATGATAACCCTCTGGATGCTCCCTACCAAACGAGCCTTCCGTCCCTTTCCGTCCCATCCCGTTCCATGTACACTTTATATATATGATGGTGTCAAGTTATCTTATTCAAAAACATAAGCCGCTGCTGAAATCCAACCCAAATTCACTCCCTTTAGAAGACTGGACGACCTTGGTCAACCAACCAGCCAGGCAGGGCGACTTTCTCCCAAGTCACACCCTGCCGCCTCCAAGAATAAGATGACGGAAGGAGCCGTCACCCAGCAAATCACCTTCTTCCTACGCCCCTTTAAAGCCCCTCATACCGCCCCTCGTCATCGCGGCACCAAAACTCGACGAGCGCGCGTGTGCCCATTACGTCCCCGCCGCGCAGCAGCGCCGCGACGTCGACGTTGAGCGGCGAGTCCGTCTCCGGGTACGCCAGCAACGTGCGCACGGCGCGCACGCTCTCGAGGATACTGTAGGCCGGCGTCCAGGCGTCCTTGAGCAGGTCGAGGCAGATCTCGCCCGTCTGCAGCGCAATGTTGGCGTGCACCACGGGCGTCGCGAAGCGTATCGTCGGTGGGCGGATGGGGTAGTCTGTCGGGATCTGGATGTGTAGGAGCCAGCGGCCCTCTGTTTTTATTCGCAAAGGGTTAGCTTTACTTCCCGAAGATGCGAAGAAGGGGTGATCTTGCAAGGAAATAAGAGAGAGAGGAGAGAGAGAGAGAGAGAGGGAGAACATACCATCATACCCGTTCCCAATCCCGCGCCCGTTAACAACAGCCTCCCACGTCAACAGATCGTCGTCGTCGACGGGCCCCAACCTCTCGATACCCCTCTCCTCCTTCTTCTCCGACCGCCACACGTCGAGCTCCTTGATGAGCCTCTTGATCGCGCCCCGCCCGTCCGACGTGGACTTTGACTTTGACTTCTTGCCGCCTCGGTCTCGCTCTCCTCCTCCTGGCGCCGCGCCCGAGGGATTCGTCTGGGAATCGGGCAAGTTCTGAATGCGCCACGACATCTTGGAACAGGTGGAATCTGTATCTGCTGCTTGCAATCCGGTTTGCTCGCGCAATGGATGGATGGATGGAGGGGGATAGGACCTATGATTCGACCGATGATGGCCTCTGGAACTTATGAGTCGCAAGTAAAGGGGGTGGAAGACGGTCAATTGGTATGTAATCGAGTATGCGTTTTTCTGTTTGAAGACGATGGTCGAGTAAGATCTCGGAGCAGGCTGGCTGTATGGATACGGGTAGCTGTTGATAACCTTTTTGGATGGGGGAAGCTTTGGGGCAATCCCCAAGCCGATGGGCTGGCTGGGTTTAACTTAGCTACCTACCTTAGCAGTAGCCGAGCCTCCAGCTTCCCCAGGGTGCCAATGGGACGTACCTTGTGACGCGACAGGATAAGTGGGTCCCGTGGGTTCAGCCGAGGTTTCCCAGGCCGGCCGGCTCTCAACTCCAGGTTCAGTCCGGCATCTAGCCAACACCGTCCGCATCGTCCGTAGACCGGCGAAGTTACGTTCCATTTTGTTCCTTCTCGTGTCATTTCGGCCGTGTCACTGAAGCCTTCACAATGTAAATCCCTAACCCTAGTGTCATTGATGTGCATCCAAGAGGGAAGATTCAGAGTGACTCTCAGAAATATGTTCATTAATATTTGTCTACGTCGCGATTTGTGCCATTTTCCATCGTCTAGAGGGCTGAAACAGCCGGCCGGCCAAAGAACTATGAGAGACACTGCAAATGTGCCTCGACTTGTCTGCCTCGCCAAGTTTTCGCCTTCCTAAATTCGCATTTCATCCCCGATATGTCCAGAGAACGGAAACAAAACCATTGAACTACATGTTTCCGGCCCCCACAGTTGTCACCAAGACATATGGCCGCGAACCTGCTATGCTCATGCAACTTGCTGCTCATGCTATCATCACAAAGAACGCCGAATCCGTGTCCCAAAAAGCCGAGTCGTCGAGGTTTCCATCTCTGCGCGTTGCGTAAAGCATTGGTGACGACCCGGTGATGCTTTTCTTTTGCTGGCCAGGCTGCGTCGGCAATGTGGTTGCAGACGCGAATCCTGTCCTAGCGAAGAAAGACATGATTCCGCCAGAAGGATCTGGTCGGAGAGAAAGTGTAAAGAGTTGTACAATAATTCCATATACATGCGTCATGAAGTCACATTTGTTGTATGCGCTGAAAGCCGACTGTATCGTGGCCAGTCACCCTGACTCGTTGGCGTGCGTCTCCCATAGGGGTCTAGGATGAGACCTCCTCTTTGCTGGGCTTCCAGAATCGCATCATTCGGCTGAGTCGTTTCGATTTGCTGGACTTGTGCTTCTTGTCACCCTCGCCATCGTATGAGACCTCCATTGAAAGCTTGCTGCGCTCCCCATGAGAACTGCTGATAAGTCTACTCAAACTGGCAAGGCTGGATCGCCGCCGCCCGAAGGCTGCTGAAGATACTGAGACCGGGCGCTGTTGGTCGGGTCGTATGGGCTCCTGTCGCAATTGAGAGCTGGTGGGAAAAGAGCTGTCCCTTGTCATGGTCGAGTGACTGGAGGTTAATGACGGTATATCTACGGAAAGCCTGACTTCTGGGCCCGGCTCCCCGAGAAGTAGAGATTGGAAGTTGTTCTCCTCGTTGACTGAAGATGGTGCCGTAGAAATCCGCTGAGCGTCGTATGACATGGGCGAACGGGGTGATGGGAAGGATGAGGCGTGGCTCATTGAATAGGGGCTGACGGGAACGTGCGAAGGAGTCGGCAGGTGGAGGGGACTGACGTCGACAGGGGCCAAGTCCTTGCTGGCAAGAATTCTACGGGGAGACGGTGTTGCGGAACCAGTAGACTCTGCTTTTTCGTTGAAGATGGAACCGGTACGAAACTCGGGGATCTGGGCAACGGGCTCTTCAACAATGACGTCCTCTTGCAGGGGAATGGGCGCCGTCTCCGCGCTCATCTTGGCTTCTACTTTCGGTGCGTCCGTGTCAGTGACCTGATCACGGCTGACGCTGCCATCAGGGCCGCTGGTGGGAATATCGTTGAGAATGGGCTGCTGGACTTTGTTGGTAGCGGGCGGTGTCGCCTCGTCGCCAGAGGATTCCGCGCTGTCGTTGAACTCGCCTCTGTTGGCACGACTGCTAGTGTACAGTGATGCGCACTTGCCAGGGTGCTCGTCATCTTCTTCATCCTCCTCGAACACGTCGGCCATTGTCGAGCTGCTGCCAAAACGATGTATGCCAAATCGGCCCACATCGAATGGTACCATCTCAGGGGCGCTTTCAGCGCGGCGGTGGTAGTGCATTCCTGGTCCGCTGAAGCCCTTCATACCCTGTGCGCTGTGTAGCTGGCGCTTGGTAGAGGCTGCGGCTTTTTGGGCGGCGTCCCATTCAGGGTTATTCGCAAGAGGCGTGTTGAAAGGACCCAGTGCGGCATCCAGATCAATCATGGGGAAAGATGCGTCGTCTTGGGTCGAAGCAGGGCGCGGCTTCCACTCTTGTAAGCTCTGAGGTTGGCTAGAGGTGTCTGTCACCATGAGTGTAGGTGTAACCGGTTCGGCATTCACTTCCGGTTCCACCAAGAGTGTGAGGGGTTCATCCTTCTGCTCGATTGTCTCAAACTGACGGGCAGAATCGCCCGTGAGATCCAGGTCTTTGCACTTCTTGTTCCGCGGTTTGCTCTTTCGTGCTAGAATTGATCCTGCCCAGTTCTTGACCTTCTTCTTCTTCTTGGACTTCTTGCCGTCTGCGCCCTGGCCGGCGGGGTCCGAAAATTCTGAGAAGCCTCCCAATTCCGGGTTGGGCTCCGAGGTAGATGAGGAAGATGAGCTGGTTGGCTTGGATCCAGAATCTGAGGAACTGGAGCTCACGGGTCTTGTGCGGAGTGGTGCCGCAGTCGCGTTGAAAGGGTCCAATCCGAAGAATGACCACCTTTTGGGAGTCTTGGTTGGACTCGGCATTGGGGGGTCGACAGAGCCTGCTTCAGGCACGTTGATTAGGGTAGGTATGGAGTTTCTCCTCCTTGGCGATGCCCCGACTGATTGAATGCTCTGGGATCGTTCCAAAACTGCCCCGGCAGTGCTGGGCCTGGACTCGTTGTTCTGGCGAGAAGGAGTAAGCACCAGAGGAATTATAGGTTCAGTCTCCACATGTGTAGTTGTCGTCGGGATGGAAATGATGGACGAAATGCTTCCAGATACCGAGTGCCCTCCGGGTCGAGCTGTAACTGTGCTGGAAGTATCGCTCGACACCATTGATAGCGGGCGTGGAATGAACTCGAGGGTATCAGAGAACCCAACACGAGCACGCGTGACTGGCCTGGCTGCGGGTGAAGCCCTGCCACTTGATGAACCCGAATCCGCAGTGACTGGCCTGGTAAGCTCTCTGGGCACTCTGAGGGCTGGTTCAGATTCAACGCCCTTCAGAGTCTTCTCGACCAGACCTGCATTGTGATGATCTAAACGTCGGTCAAATTCAGCTGGGCTTGTAGGAGCACTATTGCCCCTAAGATTACCAGGCGCTGAAGGCTGGACAATGAGAGATAGGTCGTGGCTTGAGAGCGCAGCCGAGCGTCTGTGTTTATGGCCGCGGCCGCCAGGAGGCTTCGGGGGCAACGGGAAGTTTGGAGACGCAAAACCACTCTCGGATCGCGTTGGGCTTGTGCCAGTTACGGTGATGGAATCTCCAGAGCGAATGCTTCCTCCTACAAATTCGCTCCCTCCTCTCCTATGTCCGACTCCAGTTGGTCTTGCAGGTGATGCCGCTAGTCTCGGGGACACAGGCGGAGGGGATAGAGGCGGGCTAAGCAGAAGGGATGTATCTGGGGACAACGAAGCACCGGGATTGAAGGTGAAATTGGGAAGCGCGGGTGATCTTGACGGCCGATCTGCTGCTTCTGGATTTAAGTTGAAGGTCGACCGGTCTTGAATTTCGATGGCGGACAGCGGACGTCGCCCAGTCGCTCTCGAGAAAGATGAGGGTGCAGAGGCCGACGAGGGCCTTGCCGGGAAGACGAATGGTGGATTTGGTAGTGGAGGCATCGTGCGTGGAGAGTGTGGTCCGGAGAGTGATGATGTTGAGGAAGTAGAATTATCCAGCATTACTGGAAGAGAAATCGCTTGCATCGAGGGCTCGTCCAAAACCTGTGTACTTGTGGCTATCATCATTCTCTCAGGTCCGACAGTGGTTGCCATGCTTGACTGAGCCGCGCTGCGGCTACAGATTTGATCAGCAACTAAAAGCGGGACATAAAGAGGACGCAAATGCAAAATGGTCGTCGTTGATTGAGAATGGAGGATCGTTTGGAGGACGACGCGTCAGGGGCGTTTTGCGAGGTGATGGAGGATTTGGTGATTAATTCTGCAAGATGGCAGATTTAGCGAGTTGATTCTTCTTTTCGTTTTTGATATGGCGAAAGAGAATTGGAAGAATCGATGGGCGAGTAAACACCTTTCGGAAGAAGTCGAATGCGGCGCGGTGACGATGGGAATTGGGCGAAGTTGGCGTTCACGATTGCGTACGTGACAGAAGCGGTCGACCAGGTAAGACAAATGCTATTTATCGAATATGAAAATTGAAGGTGTTGTTAAGGAGCGGACGGCACAAGACCAGAAGCAAATCTGCAAGATCTACAACTAGAATTGAACCACGAAACAGAAGTCAAGAAACGACGACGGCCTCGAAGGGTTTTGGGGGGAAGAGAGTTGATGGGAAGAAGGAGGGGGTTGCGACGCGGAAGACTAAAGAGAGGATGGGATGGATGGGTGGATTTAGGATTAGAATTGGGGACACACACACACACACACACACACACACAACAGCGAAGAAGCGACGAGTCGGGTCCAGCGGTCGGGGTGTGTTGGCGATGGGAGAAAAGGGGGGGTGAGAAGACAGGGATGGAGAGGGTGTGTGGGAGGGAAAACCTCAGTTGGGTTTGGACTGGCTCGGGGAGAGGGGGGGCCAGTCTGCAGAGGAGGAAGGAAGCCCAGGGGGAAAAGAGGGAGAAGGAGCAGCAGGAACGACTAC